AATATGAATGGTAAGATGCTCCATTCCACAGAGTGCAATGTGAATGGTAAGATGCTCCATTCCACAGAGTGCAATATGAATGGTAAGATGCTCCATTCCACAGAGTGCAATATGAATGGTAAGATGCCTCATTCCACAGAGTACAATGTGAATGCTAAGATGCTCCACTCCACAGAGTGCAATATATATGCTAAGATGCTCCATTCCACAGAGTGCAATATAAATGCTAAGATGTTCCATTCCACAGTGTACAATGTGAATGGTAAGATGCTCCACCTCAAAGAGTGCAATGTGAATACTAAGATGTTCCATCCCCAAAAGTACAATGTGAAGGGTGAGGATTATTTTCTAAGTGACAACCACCATTATGCTGTATGCAAGTTTCTTTTCATCAGATCTTTGCTTCTAAAATTTTAAAACAAGGATGGCTTAAACGTATTCATTTAAATTATCATGTTATTGTTAAAATGGCCCTAGTTAGCCGTTAATATAACTTTGTTTTGATGTAATGTTAACCCTTTACCTAAACTTTGCCCATTACTTAGTTGCATACTTGTCATCCTATTGCTACAACTTTGTCACTACAGTATAGTAAAGTCAAGATGAAGAATAGAAAAGACCAAGGCATAGATATTTTGTATTCACGTAATAATGTTTTTCCTATATTCTATATTATTGTGTTATTTTTCTATGGTTTTGAATGAAATAAAAGCATCCATCTATCCATCCACAAGTTATCTATACAACTGAATTGCGTTAAGGTTAGAGATAGGGTAAGGCGTGGGGTACCTTGAAAGTCTTTCCTGAAATTTTTCTGTGATCTTTACACAACATCAGTATGCTAGAATATTTGAAAGCATGTGTTGTTTTTTACTGATATAGATATTTGGAAATATCCATGTAAAGTCTGAAAACATATATAGAAATATGTTTTTTCTCACCTACGATCCCCACGACTCTCTCGATTGATTGCGGATTCCCTCTCATTTCCGCCCTCTTCTTCTTTTTCATGGCCTCTTCCTCCCTCTCGCTCTCTATCTTGCTAACCACTCATCTCTGTCACCCCATCTTGCTCACAACAACTCGCTGCCTCGCTTTTTCACATGGCCCTGCCCGATCTCGTTCTCTTGTTCAAGGCTAGTCCTGCCCCAATCGTATATGGCCGGCTTTGTAGTCTCATTCATGGCACTCTAGACCTCCCTATTACTTATAGTTCCTCCTAGCCATCCCCTATACAGGTCTTTTCTTGCACTTACAGCATCACCTGGCATCTTTCTCTCACTTACAGTTCCTGTGACTTTTCTCCTTTGCTTACGACACCTCACAACCTGTCCTTCTCGCTTATGTTTTTGGCCTTTCCTTCTTGATTACATTCTTCCTCTTGACAAATGATTGTTTTTCACGGTTTCACAGCCAATATGATATTCGTCTCACACCTCCAGCCATTCCCTGTTTCTCCTTCATGCTTCCAG